ATTACATTCTGTGCAAAAGAGGTTTGTCGGATTTCTTTCAAAAATTTGTATGCAAGAAGACAGAGCTAACGTTTCCTCTCTAAATACTACACCTGTTTATAAGTTGGTCTAGGTAAGAATTTTACGTAAGTGTAAACGAAAGATGTGCATATTTTTGCCTATCTACAGTTTTCCTAAATTTCCAAGTCATCTAAAAATTATTATTGCTAAAAATGATCCGAACTGCAAATATATGACATTTAGCTTGTACATCTACCAACGACGTGTTGGCGAACAAACAGGATTCGATGCAAACTCACTATGAAATTCTTATGTTTATACCCCACATATTGCAATATAATAGAAAATATACTAACATTGTGCGACTGTATCTAATACCCATAAAGACTTAACATAGATAAAACCGTCTTTTATTATCCTCTGTCAGAATCCTTTCCTGCATCGATCTAAGATTGTCTGTCCGTCTGATCATGTATTCTTGTGGGTCAACCCACGGACCCCCATCTTTGACATATTTTGATGAAATTTGGTACGCTGACTTATTTTGGTTCTACTGACATTGGATTGGACCTACTCTCAAAATTTCTCCACGAAAATTGGTTAGTAATAGTGTTTCGACATTCTAACTTAATGTGAAAAATTTGGATCAGATGAGCTAAAATTTAGAACCGATCCTACGAAACATATATATAATGAAAATATACTTCAAAAAAATAAAAAATAATTGGAAATAGAAGATAACTATACATAATTTAGACCAAGCAGATCGATTTTTTGGATCGTATCCCTTACAAGGTTCCCCATAAAAAGTAAGGATCTATTTAGCAAAAAGATACAAATGTTAATATTTTTTTATAGGATCCATAAAAGAAAATGTGACATACAAATTAAGTGCACATTAATTTATTGCAGCAGCATCGTTATATATTTTGTGTGCGGGAGGGTTTAAACCTTTATAAAAGTTGTCTGTATTTTCTTAGGTTATAAAAAATTTTATTCAAAACACGAGAATCTTGGTAGATTAGTAGTAAATATGTTGCAAGTACACACAGGCACTTTCTTTTCGTAAAAAAAAAATGAAACATTAAAAAAGAAGGAAAGGAGAAAGACATAAATAATAAATAAATATTAAAATAAAAGAAAATAACATAAATTCGAAAAAATAAATAAAACTACTTATCGAGATTCATTCATGCTTTCTTAAAATTCTCCTTTCACTGTTATCTAAATTTCAAGTTGTTTATCTACTTCTAAAAAACTGTTCGATCTCGATCACCAAGTCTTTTAATTGAACGACTGCAGTCCTCTAGTTCGAATAGAAACTCTTTCATATTAATACCACGTGCGTCTAACTCATCGGCTGAACGACCGTTTACTGTTCATGTTGCTAGATATAAGAGTGCCTTGCTACTGCATCTGACATCCTTCGATGATTCTTTGAATATGTTTAGAGGAAAGTTAACCGCGTTGCTAAACTCATAATATGTACTTTGTTTCTGGTAGGAATCGATGATTACGAACTTTATGGAGCGAGATGATTACATTAGCAGCCATCTAGCTGACTTGTATACTCACTTAAGTTGTGGTTTCTTTTTGCACATAAAATGTATCTACGTAACTAGGTAATAGGCCCTTGGGTTTACTGCTACTTAATAAATGAATAAATGAAAATGAAAATTGCAAAATGTATAAATGTTAACCCTGGACATTGCGAAGAAGGAAAGAAATGGCGCGCAAGAAAATACAAAAATAAAACAAGTATAACTAAACTCAACAAGTCGATATCAACAAATCACTTAAACTAACCTCTGACTTTACTAGGTTTCAGGCTACAACCTATTAAACTTCTCGGCCATTAAATTTATTTATTTTTTTATTTTATTTTACTGCTATCTTCTTCTATCACATATCATCTAATGCGTAAATTATATAAAAACAAAAATCAAGCAAAATATTAACTTATAAATATATGCAAGGGTCCATTCTCATTGCGGTAGTAGACGCTAAGCCTTCCCTAATTTGGCACAACAAATCATCTGTTGAAGAAGAAGAAAGAGTTTAGCTCAGCAATAGCAGATGGTAATGCATACAGGCAAACTCCGCTAGCTCGTGAACACTAAGAGTGCTGTAAGCTGAAGCATCCGTATTCGCTCTTTAATTCACGGTATTTAAAAGGTGTAACAATTATTATGTTTTCGATTTTTGCATTACTTGCTTAATATATTCAAGAATTTTGCATTAAAAATAGTCCGAATAATTCTCAGCTACAAGAAAAGATGGTGCACTTTGAGGCAGGTAAAACGACGTATCGCCCACAACAATATCCCCATGTGAAGTAGTAAATAAATGTTAGTGATGAAGGGTTAAGTGTTACATTGAATAATTTGTTTTGTCAGTGTAGTAAATTTTTCTAGCCGACGAAAGTTTTGAGCAATAACATGTGATAATGTGCAATAAGCTTGCATTTTGTTAGAAAAAGTCATAGAAAATACAGGTTTTCGTCTGCAGGTCTATGAACGGTGAGTGATTTTATTTTTCACACATAAATAGCCCAAATCCTGATTTAATGCTAACGTTTATTATCGACGCAAATATTTCATATTTCAATTATCTGACAACGAAACACACATGGATGAAACATATGTATACGTTCCAGACCCAAGTGGTGGGTACCAAAGATTTGTCATAAATATTTTAACATTTTTTAAATGGAGCGAAAAAATCATTTGAAGGAAGCACATCTTCGGTTTTGTTTATCACAAAAAAAATTAATAAAATTTTATGAGCAGAAAAAATTATTAAATAATAATAAAAAAAGATTTTAAAATCAGCTTATTTTACCATACTTAGACAAGGGTTTTGTCTTAAGAGAAGTCGTTTGAAAATTGGTTTTTCGCTGTTCAGCTTATGTCAATGGCGTAACTGAGTTACTCGATTTTCTGCGAACAATCCTATCCAATTATTTTAGGAGAAGTTGGAAAAATTCGTTGCTTTCAAAGTACGGAGTACAAAGAAATATTCCGCGAAAATTTTAGGTTACTACAAACGGAACACGATCGACAACACCTTTCGGGAACAATCTTAGCGTAATTTGAACATTAAGATTCCAAACGGGAAGACACAGTGACAATGTATCGTTCCCCCACCGGCATCGGGGTGTCGGGGGACGTGTCGATTTGGCTATTGAAACAGCACGGAGATTAGGTAGTTTTGCTATAACAGGAACATAATACGTTAAGTTATGATTGCTTCCTGTTAATTCTTTTATATTTTAACTTTAAAAAATTCACAAATTTTTTAATGTTTATATGAAGTAGTGCTGATAAAAAAAAGTGATACAAAAAGGGCTTAACAAATTGTAATAAAAAATATGTATTTTGAAGGATGGAGTACAACCCGATAATAAATTTCGCAACATTCTTCTTATGCTTTTGAGTTATAGTATATAATGTAATCTTGCGATGGTAAAATTCGTTACATGCCGCACTCGTTTATAAGAATGATAAGATGCACCAGTGTAAGTTTTAAACCAACGGGCATATGTATCAACGCAAAGAAAGCTGAATAATTTATTTTAATCTGAGCTAAGAAAAAAAAATGTGAAAAGATCTGTTTTTATCATAACACGAAGGGAGGGAAAAGAATTATATGCAGATTAAAGAATAACATGCAAATGTTTGTGCCCACATTCTTTATGTACGCACAGCGAAGATTTACTTGCGGTTTTGTAATAAGTTTTTATATAAAGGCATGCAGGTGTGTTATTAAAATTCATGACAATCGTCAAAGAAAACCACTTTACAAAAGTAAAGAAAAAGCTGAGATTTTGTTTTTACGACATCGCTTTGCAGAACCGCTTTGTCGCTTACTATAACTTCAAAATGACCAAAATTAGTGAAGTAAGGTACATTTGCTTTTACGAGTACAATGGGGCAAAGAACTTGTATGTTTTAATTTTTTTAATATTGATTTTTTTCGAAGGAAATTTGATCCATAAAAATTTTGAAGTCTTCGAGAAACTTCAAAGTAAGCTCAAAGCTTTAACTTAGCATTCTTGATACTTGTAGGATAAAGGTGCTCTAAATATTCGCTTTATTAATGCCAAAGTATCAATGTAAATAGCGGTTAAGTTCGATAATGTTAACCGTTCTCTACATAAAATAACAATTTTGGATTTAATATTGTTAAATTATTTAGTGCATTTTGCATTTTCTACATCCATTACTTTTGTTATTTAATTTGAGAAATCTGCTAGCTAGAAGTCCATCAACGCTTATGGAAGCTTATCGTGGTGCTGCTCCATTGTATTCCAATTGTCGGTGATTGGTTTCCACGGTTTAAAAGTGGGGATTTTCATTAAAATGACAAACAACGGTCTGGAGAATCAAACCAGTTCGAAGACCATTAATCTCCATGAACTTGTAAAGAACTTTCGACCAGCTTGGCAATTGATGAATCAAGTGTTTCTAAACATTTACATTCGATGAGGAGGATCAAAAAGAAGGAAAAATGTTTAAAATACGAAGAGACTGAAAATCACAATGCGAGCCGTTTTAACACCGCGATGTCATTATTTGTCAGGCAAAAAATAGAGCGTTTTCTGTGGAACAAGTATTCTGACTGACAATGAAAGGTGGGCGTAAAAAGTCATGGGCTAGTCGAGGAGAGTCATCCACATCGACATCGAAGCAGAGTATGAATGGCCATAAAGTTTTGCGGTGCATATGGTGGAATCAGCAAAGTGTACTATATTACGAGTTGCTAAAACCGAACGAAACGGTCACTGCAGATTCCCAGCGGCATTGTTTGAACGAAATGAACGATGTAAAAAGACCAGCAATTACGGCTAAAACAGCTAACATACAGAAGCCATTTTATTGTTGGCGTTGCTATAAACGGCAGAAAAGTAAGGCTAGACATCACGTTAAGATCAAAACAGAAACAAACCTTGCTTAACATTAAGTCTAAATGCTTGCTAATTATTTAAAAGTTTTACTTACACTTTCCTTACTTTCGAGCAAAACAGACGATAAAAATAATTCGAAGATATTAAAGTCCAATCACAAAAACTTGAATCACAGCACAATGTTCACAAATAAAGACGTTTAATTTATCACATTAATTTTATAATTTTTTTTTTTAACCCAACTTTCATATCACGATTTAATTTGCTTCAAAATATTTCATCTTTTTAGTTCATTTTGTAAAATTTGTTTGAAAATCTGTTTAAATTTACATCACTTTCATTGTTATTACATTTTAAATGATGTTTCTTGTTTATAAATAAACAAACAAATAATTACGGCACTCATTGAAAAATAAAGACTCGTTTAAAAATATTTAACCTTTAGACTACTAGATAGATGTTCATAAAAATGTTTGCAAAGCAGAGCGAAACAAACGCAACGGAACAGAAAAATAACACAAAAATTGGTTATAAATATAAAATTCTCTTATTAATAGTGAATTAACGCCAATGTTGTTTTTTTTTTTTGTTTTTATTTTTTATTTCTGCTTAATTTCATAGCATTTCATATACTGTTTCACCTTAAACGTTTTTTGTTGAAATATTTACAAACAGCAGCCAATCTCGTAAACAAATACATTATCACATCACAACACCTCGGCGGTCCATAACGTATGAGCAACCATAATAATTGGCATAAGTTCAACAGCTGAACGACATTTGAAAATCAAAAAAAAGAAAAATTTTTTTTAGTTGCTTTGCAAAGATAGCATTCAATTAATTTAACGAGAGTTCATATTGATTTTTTTGTTTAATTTTTTAATTTAATACTTGCGAATTTTATTTTTTTATCATTTATTTAACCAATTGTGCTTATCCAGTACTCGTTATAAAGCCTCATTAACTTTATCGGTTGACTTTGGTTGACTAACGTACCGTACGCGTTGAATGGCATTTAGGAACTGAGTGCTGGCTATAGTTTACTTATCATCACATTTCTATTCTAAGGAGTTTCTTATACACCATTGCACACAAACCCACCACCTTCTCTTATTGGAAACTTCCAGCCAAGTTCATATTATACCTTTTTCGGAATCCCTTAAATAGAAAAAAATCATATGAACGTTTGTTTTTCTTAATTTTTCAATTATGCCTTTTTTTTGATACAGTTCATCCATTTAACACTCGTTAATACACACTAGTATACCGCTCAAAATGACAACCATTCATTAATGCGTTAGTTTATATACATATGCGGGGTTCGGTGCGTTAAAAGGGCGCGAAAACGACACCTATTGATAACAATACACATTAGCTTCAATTTGTACTGAGAAATAGTGAACTAATGACTAATAACAGCTGTTCATTACGGCTGCTTATTGTAATTGCAAAAGCAGAAAGTTACCACATGTCTATAACATATATTTGAAATGTGATTGCTTTAGGGTTGCTATATGCGAAATATTATTGAAACGTGAACATCTGCCTTTGCTTATTATTATAGTATGTATACATGTATATATATAGACATATATATTGATATGATTGTTAGTGGTGACCAAAAAAAGAGGAAAGCAGACGTGTTTTTAGTTGATGTTGCACTCTCCTTCATTACCAGCATTGAAGCATGTCTAACGCAGATTTTAGAATTAAATAGGTATTGTGCAGGCGGACAGATGGGTATGTCTAGATCAATTCAGATTTGATTGATTGAAAATATATACACTTATGAGACTTCTCGACCTATCTCTCTTCTCAATGTTGTAACAAACGAATATGTATATATACTCACGTTTTCTTACAATTGTTTATTGGTATGTACCTTTATTAAAACTTTTTATTTTGTTCTTCCTCTTTTTTAGTATTTTTTGAAGAGAAGTACATTTGCACGTTTTCACTTCTAGATTCATTTGTTTAAAAACCGTTAGCTGGTTTGCTTTTTACATGTTGAAAAGAAATACCATATACTGAGAATAAAGATGCCGTTGAAGTATGATCACACTACGTCGACATGTTAAGCCTTTGTTCTGAAATCAAGAAGATGAGCAACAATATTAGTTCAGTTCCTGCCAAGATCCGTTCAGATTCGGGTAAAACTCGTTTAATTTCTATTAAAATGCATTTATATTTCGATGAGGTCGAAAAATGACAAAACAATTTTATATAACAGTATGATTATAATGATAACAATAATGTTATAACAGAAAACACATCACCTGTATTTATAAACTGCGTCGAAAATCGAAATTTTCCTTCAAGTCCTCGATTTAATTTCTTACAATAATTTGAAAATTTTGAAATGCGCATAGAGTGCGGCAAATTTACTAAGAATACGTTACTTTCTAGGATTTTGCAAAACTATTACCCACTGATACCGCCGCACCTAAGCTATATGGAGAAGTTGCTCTTGGGTCAGAAAATTTTACTCATAAGTAGTATTGGGAACCTTTAGCTTAGGTAGAGATAAATGAACTTAAAAAGAAATTGCTTTGTAAACACTATTGGCGCTAAATATTCTTCGCCAAATATTTGAATATGCTTTGACAAGGAAAAAACCGGACGTTTTTATCCTTCAAAAAAAGGACTTACGACTAGCTTCAAAATATTTAACATTCTTACTTTACTCACAAACTACAGCAGATAAAAGTATAACAATTTCTGCGCACATTCTGAACGCGATCCTAGAGTAAATATCCGCTTGAGTAGTCAAGCAAGAATAGCGACTACGAAGTTAATGTTTACGGTTTCAAACCTCAGTACGAAAGAGTACTTTTTTTTGTAAAATTTTTCACTTGATTTAAATTTTTCAGGTGTTAAGTAAATTAATGTTAATTGTATCTTTACTTTTTAGTTTGCGTATTAGATAAAGCTGTAACACTAATCGATTGGACGTACGGCTTGTTTCTTTTCCCACTTCTTTCTGATCGTCACCTCTTTACGCGAATAGAGGACTTCAATGGCGAGGCCATCCCCGGAGTAATTCTTGATATCAAAAAAGAAAAAAAAAATTTGCGGAATCGCTTAGCAAATAACGACGGCTTAGAATACTTTCGAATTAAGAGGTTGTTTTTAGAATGGAAAAATTTCCAACTTCATTTACGTTGGTGTTCAGTGATATTTTATATTGCTTTTATAAAATCGCGTAAAACGAAAAGATTAACGGCAAAATAAGATCAGACCTGTAATAAGAACTATGAAAGCCTTATTATATTTATCTTTAATGGTCGATCAGTAACTGAGAGAAAATACCTGACCTGGTCGTTCACGTGTCCACCACGTTTAAAAAGACCTAGTTTCTTCAACGTTAAAATCTTAAATGCTCCAAGCTTTTATGTATAGAGTGTCACAGAAAAGTGGCTGAAGTAAAAGTTACTTTCCAACTTGCAATTCACTTAAATAAAAGCATATTTAAAAAAATGTTTTTATATAATTTTCTTATTAGATGTCTAGCCAGAACTCGGTTAAAGACTTATATAACTTTTTAACTTAGCTGTTAGTGTTATAAAATAATGTAGGGTATTTTATGGTGGGCCGTGCTCACTGTAGTGTTTTGTTTGTTTCTGTTAGATTACGCAGTCCGTATACGCTTTATTCTATCGTTCCAGCAAAAGCAACACTAAGGCGAAAAGGTGTACGGGAGCAAGAATCAGGTAGAAGAAAAAAAAGAAAATCTTTCGAAAAAATTAAAAAAGGTTCCTGACATCAAAAAAATTTTTTTTTGCAGGGACAACGTGAAGATAAATAATTACAAATTACGAAACTTCAGTACTTCGTTTTGGAGCATTGAAAGAAAATTTTGAAAGCTGCCACTACAAGGAATTCCTCTAACCTACACCAACTCAACCTCAACTTTCAGAATCTCAAAACAATCTCTTGAATGATAAGAGTCTTTTAGGTGCTTGATTCTTTCTTAATCCTATTAATCCCCTTATTAGGAATGCAAATGGACGTCTTCTGTTAGAAAGGCCGGTTTGAGATACTTCGAGGTCCAGGTCAAGCTATTCCGTTTATCTCTGGCAACCTTGCCACCTCATTTCTCACGGCAGAAGGCATCCTCCTCCAGCGTGAGTACCAGGGTAAGCTTCCAGCAGATCGCTGCGAAGTTCCTGATTGTTAGGCGGATGTCCATTGCAAGGTGCTCCGCGGCCAATTTTTTAAGTAAATAAGAATTAAGAGTGTTTTCGAAAAAACCCCGTGCACATACATTCGCTTGTGCGCGGGTGACGATAAGTTTCATAGCTAAGAGAGAAAGCCATTTTTCATTCATTACAGCACTTATAAGGACACATATATATATATATAAGTGCGGATATATGCAACACCCAGGAGGAATTGAAATATGTGCCGAAAGTCATGCTATGTCTAGTGTTTTTGCTGCGATAGTTTTCCATTGTATACAAATGAACTCTCTTTGGTGTTCTGATTACCTGTAATTGCCAAAGAATAGTTAAAGCTCCATCTCCATTTTATTCTTTATAATTACCAGACTGTTGAAATTTTTTATGGCCATTTTGTTCTTGACATAATTGACGATTTTGTACTCTAGCCGCTCGTGACGCACCAATGGAGGAAGTTCTATAATTTATTTAATATGAATTTTGATTTTTTTGGAATCCTTTTAGAATAAATCTAACGTTAATGGTAACATAAATAGGCTAGATTCGCTTTTGCTAATGCTGATTTTTGACTAAATGATTTGCCCCATACATACTGCAAATGTAATATGTGTTGCATAGATCACACACACACACACACACACGTACGCTGAAACACTAACGAGACAAAGCGAAGGCGAAAAATGCAACAACTTTAAATTACGACGGATTAAAATGCGACAAGTCGCATAGGAAAACTGATTACAAAAAGGAAGGTAGAGCAAGTGCTGGTCTTTAAAGTACTTCTACGAATATTGGCTGGAAATGACATGTTATTTTTACTCTTTTTTTTATAGACTTTATATAAATCGTAACTGACGTTTTAATAAATATATTAGGACGATGATTTTTCAGTAAATTATAGTTCTGTTGTAAATGGGTAAACAAAGCGGTGTAGACATAAGTGGACAAGCTAGATTTGGTAGATGGTAGACTCATTGCAAGATTTTTAAATATGCGAAGTCCGTTGAAGCTGCCCTTAATCTACAATTATAAACATTATGTCCGGGTATGGCCGAACCTTCTATAAACCAAGCCCAGATATATATTTTTTAAAATGCAGTCAAATATGACTTATGTATACAATACTTTCCTTTTACGCTATAATACGGTAAGTAATATTTGCCAAGAAAGGGAAATGTCTTTATAGAGTACAAGACAAAACGTTTACCTTCGTTTGATTACTTTTTATTGTCACCTATTAGAGCAATGCAGTGGCAAATATCGTAAACGTAAGGATTGCTTGGAGAGACCACGTAAAGTTCTTGCAAGATATGCGAATTCTTTAGTCGTTCACGATGAACATATTGTGCAAGATGAAGCTGCAAATTGCGATGAGAAAAGAGATCGTTGGAGTAGTTACGATCCCGCCAATCATCGCGAAATTATAGAAGAATATCAGAAGGTGGAAGAAGCTAAACGGCAATTAAAAGCCGAAAAATTAAAGAATGGTTAGTAGAAACCTCCGAAAATTTTATTCCTATATACATTGCCAGAAACTGTTTATTAAATTAGACCCTGGTGCGGAAATATCTGATGATGATGGGAACGAGGATAAATATGTTGACGAAGTGGACATGCCAGGACCTAAAGTGGATTCAAAACAACGTATTACAGTACGTAACGTGAAGATACCGCCAAGTACCTCCGTAATTTGGATCCTAATTCGGCCTATTATGACCCCAAAACCAGATCCATGCGGCACAATCCAAATCCACAAGTACCAGCAGAAGAGTAAGTATTAAAGTATTAAAGTATTATTATGATTATGATTATAAATGCAGTATGGCCTTTAAACACGCATATAACGCAATTCCAGGTCAGAGTTTGACGGTGAAAATTTTGTTCGCTTTACCGGAGACACCACAAAACACGCTGGTGCTCAATTGTTCGCATGGGAGGCTCATGGTAAGGGGGTCGATGTTCATTTATTGGCTGAACCTACTAAGCTGGAGCTGTTACGAAAATAAGAAGGAACAATTCAAATCAAGTGTAAGAATCGAAGGTCAATTTAGTTTATTCATTCACAACGAAGCGGCTTTTGGAGATTGTTTTGGAATATCTCCTACTAACCTTATGAGATCCAAAAAATATAATAACGAACATATTAGCCATTGGGATGTTCTCTCAAAAACAGTGCCTCTACTAGTGCTATATGACTTTATTCTTTTTATCTTAAAAATTTGTATTGTTGTACAGCTTTGTTTTACCATGCAATTATTCTTTTTCAGACGAAGGAACATATTGTGGAAAATTATGGCGGGGAAGAACCAAGCACCACCTAAATCGCTACTATTGGCCCAAACCGAAGATTATATAGAGTATTCGCGTAGTGGCAAAGTCATTAAAGGAATGGAAAAACTCAAAGCTCGTAGTATATATGAGGACGATATTTAACTTAGTAATATATAAAAAAATATGCATTCATCTCCCCTTGTATGTCTCCTCAATAGTTTTATACAATTTTTATAGGCGTGGCATTCGATTTTACCCTATTTTCAAAAATAAAATGATAATTTTTTCCATATATTCATACAAGTGCTTGAAATATAATATATAATTGTATATTATTTTTATATATTATACTTCTTTATATATTATATTATATATTATACTTCTATGTCAGTGCTTGTGTGCCGATCGCCTATTTTCAAGCTAGACGACTCTTCTCAGTGAAAAACTTCGCAACGCATTATATCGCAAAATTGTGCCAAACAAACGACATCTTCAGCCTTAAAAAAACATTGAAAAAAATTTTTTATTTTGGATTTTAAAGCTTGCATATAAATAATTTAAGAGAATGTTTAAAACCTACATTATTTATGGAACAAGGGGAATACTAAGTTCTGTGCAAATGTATGCTGTACAGAAAGACTTGAGGTATATCCAACTTTTATCATACCAATTGATTCAAGATCACTTTCCAAATCGATGTAAGCTTGTCTCTTTTGTCTCTTATGTTGAACTTACTTTGGAGGTCCGATAGTCCATAGAATACATGAGGAAATTTTTATCGTTGTGTCTATTGCAGTAAATGAACCATATGCAGAAAGCCAAACTTTTCACGTTTGAAAAGGTAGCTGTGTCCTTGGACTGATTCGGCCCGTTTTCAATGCCACCTTGCTGGCACGTGGGGTGAGAGTACTTTTGACAGAGACCTTACTGCGAGGGTCATGCTTAGATCGATTCAAAAAATTTCACTGATCAGGAATATATTTATATGTACACATAAAGAGTTAAAGAGTTTTTAAAGCTTGCACTTCAGGTGTTGCAATTGTTTCGACACAAAATATGAATACACCCTCATCCACTGACAGTAGATTTAAAAAGGTAATCGTCTGTTGTATTGTAGATTACATTGCTTAGATTAATATTTTTAGCACCTGACAGGATTTTTTAAAAAGATGGTACATAAAAATTTCTTAGATATTAATATTAATAACATTTAATCCAGAAAATAATGCAAGTATTCGTATAACGATCTTTCAAAACGAGGCTTTCTATGGGAAGTGGTCTTATTCGGAGCATTTGCAATAGCGTTCTCCATTAACACAAACTTGACTTTGGCACTTTGAGAGAGTGTTTCTTGCACTTGTGTACGCGTGTAGCAAAAAAAATAGAAACTCGAAAATGAAATTTAGTTAACACCATGCGTAATCAGCGCTTTTGTTTTCTCTTCACGTAGTTTTTTTCTTATTCCACGCATACCAACCTTTTTCCGTACGTTCCTTAAAGGCTGTCATTAAAATTAGGAACCCACCACAGGGTGGAATTTGTAGCAAATGTACAATGTTCTTTTTCTTGTTTGTCCAAATTTGTAATATGAAAGAATTTGAAGAGTGTTGACGATAGTTCTTCAAAAACACCACTCAATGTCGGCACTGGAAAGTAATCTTTTTGTAGCATTCCATTTAATTGTCCATAATCAGTGCATAATCTATATTCACCTGACTTTTTTTCTTTCGTATCGCTCTACTTTTCACTAAAACTTTCCACTGCAATTGTTGAGGGTCTAATAACTCCAGCTAGTAGCCATTCTTCTAGATTATTTTTAATAACTTCGCGCTAGTGAATGACGGAAATATATCGGATAAAAATCGAAATGAAATCAAAAAAAACTGGAAACTTAAAACTTGAAAACAAAAGTTCCCCTAAATCCAATCAAAGTATCCCTGAACGTTAAAAACTATCCTTAAGTCAACGAAAGTTACACCTAAATCTCAAAAAAAAAATTTCTAAGTCCAAAAAAATACCTTTAAGTCAAAGAAAAGCACCTCTAAGCGTTGTTTGCTTTCCTGGCGTAAACGTGAAAAGTAATCGAAAAGACATTTCCCAATAAACAAAGAGTAAAGCACTATACTTTCCAAAATAAGGGGAAATAGTCGAAGAAGTAGGCGAAAAAACGAACGTAGGCGTCCAAACTATTTCAACAGTGTTCGCCATTGGGCCACAACATTTCGATGAACTAAATTTGATCAAAATATCTCGGAAATGGCGACTTGCAGGTTGAACACAAGAAAACAAGACGAACAGACAAGTTCAGATCGATTCAGAACCGTCTTCTGAATTGGTCGGTACAATAAAAGGTAGCCGTATTTCAGGTTTTCCTGGGTGTTGCACATATCGGCACAAAGTTATTAACTCCTTGTTCTACAAGTCGTGTAGAGTGCGATAAAAATTTAGTTTTTATACCAAAAGCTGAAAAAATGGCATACAATTTTTTATTCTAATATTTCATTTATTATTTTTCTAGTTCTTTTCAGCATGAGCAGAAGGTGCTGGTTGAAAGCATGTAATAAATTCGTACATTCAGGAAGATGAATTTTTCTAACTCTAACCTTCCAGTATAATGGCTGCATTTGAACATTTGCCGTTACTTCATTTAATGAGAGCAGTATATTTAACAAGCTTTTGCAAATTCGATGACTGGTTTAAATTAACTATTAATATAAACAAATTCTGATAATACTAAAGAAAACTCTTCGCATTGGCTTATTAACATTTGCACTTTCCTCAATGTGAAAATATTCAGCAAATAAAACGAAAATTAGAAAATGTAACAAATATCAATTTATTTATTTATTTATTTATTATGGACATTTTTCAATTTTTTCTATTATTGTTCTTCTTAATTCTCTAATTAATCCAAATTGTATTATGTTGCATAAAAATTGAACCAAGAAGCAATAATATCTCAAAATTTCTAAGAAGCATTCCAACAGTCTGCCACAATTTGTAAAAATCAAACGTAGAGTCTCTCTGAATTTCTAAAAATCAAACGGCAGGTCTCTAAAAATGAACAAAAACCACTCAGAATGTGTTTGAGAAAATATACATATGTGTTTTAATGAAAGTACACAAAAGCTAAGAAAAATTCTCCCCGAGAAATTTTCATTTTCAATTTGTTTATATAAAACGAGTAGCAAACCTTTTATGACAATTTTTAAAAATTTTTCTAAAAGTAAATTTGAATTTTTTCTCACTTTTCAATTTCTCTTGCAATTGGAATTTCTCCCAGCAAGAGAACGCGCATGTCTTGCATTACTTCCAAAGTTTGTTTGCTCGGACCATATGTTGATTACGTGGAAATAAAAATTCCAATAACGCTAACTGTTGCTGGTTTCTTTCAATTTAAGCAACAAACGATTATTTTATCTTTGCAACCAGACAGCTACGTATGTTATACATTGACTTATTTTTTTACTTTCTATATAAATCTATCTGATCATGACTACGGACATATATATTGATGGCGACATTAATAATAGTAGAACAAACCTTATATGGAAGACAATGTCCATATGCATTTATTATTACAAATTTTTAAATTTTGTGATTAATGTAGTGTTTATATGCGTAGCTCGTGAGTATAATTTGAAACAAGTAAGAAAATTACATTCGGTTGCAAGCGAATCTCTTTCATACCTATCATCGTTACTTTACGAAGGATTGAAAAAAACAAAAAATATAAATGTTAGTACTCCATAATTTTGGGTGGGCGTGGCCGTTTTATTCTATGTCTGTAGTTTATCATAAACGAGAGAAAGACACGCCTTGCCCTTTAAGCTGTTTGAGGTATTTTCAAAGAGTGTTGAAACTTTTTAGGCAATATATCATTTTTGCGAAAGGGAGAACGTTTGCCGCATAGACCACATAATTGGGCAGGTGGACAAATGGACAGACAAACACCGGAACATGTTAAGATATACTTTATATCTGTAACTGGACACAAAATGTATACACTACATAGAGTTTTTGAAACTTGCCTATGCGCGTCATAAATTTGCTGAGAAATAAATTAAATTAAACAGTGAATAAGCGTGGTAAATTTTTCACATTTTCTTGTACTCACAAATTACATGTTCAAAATGAGCAAAAAAACCTATTTTTTATTCCTTTTGAGCAAGAGAGTCATTCTCAGCTTACGTACTATAGGTGTGTTTGGACCATTTTTAACACCGACATGTGTGCAAGTGGATAGCCTAATTTGTGCGGCCAGAAGAATGTTTAAAACAATCGGACAGAGATAGATGCTTAAAACCATTTAGAATTTGATGCTAATCAAGAACATATATACTTTGTGGAGTCCCTAAAGCTTTCTTTTTGACGTTACAAGCGTTTTGATAAAATGAAGATACCTCTCATCCTTGGGTATAAAAACCTTGTCTGATGTTTAAGCGTGTTTTGCTGATAGACATTTAGGCATTTATAATTGCATCCGTACTCGTTAGGCAAGTTTTCTGCTGCGAAAACATTGATATTTCCGCAGCTTCTAACTCGAAGCTATCAATAATTTTTTTAAGAAGGGGGACTATTGTAAGCAGGACTCGTCATCTAGACAGACCTTTGTTAACAAAATTCACGTATTGCACTTCCCATTGAAGAATAGTCAGACGATCTAATTGCAACTCATCGCGGAAATTTTCATCTGCAACACTTTGATATGAAGATTTAACGGTTGAATCGTACAGATTTTTGTTGACTTTACCCAGTTACTTCTTAGGCTTCGGGCTTCGTTTTGTGAAAGCGTGTTAGCTGCGATGCATAGCTTTCTATCAGATTGGTGGCATTCAGTTTCGTATGATTGCAAAATATTCCTCTAAAAATCTTTATATAAATTTCTTGGTTTAATGACAGTCTAACCTGGATTCCGTGATAATCCAAAATCGTTTATTTCGGGACACTTTTGTAAACATTTATTTGTTTCCATAAACCATTCTAAGTCAACAATAAATCACACAGTATATTGCGGCTAACATGATTTGGTTTTCCCCACATGGCTCAA